AAGAGGGAACACAGGGAAAAAAAAACAAAGAAAAGAACCTACATCAATCTCTATTCAAATTGTATTTCCACATTTACTATAAAGACAACTGGTAAATGGCAAAACTAATACTGGCTATAGAGAAGACTCTAAATTTTAGCTTTTCCTGTTAAGTTATGCAGGCCCCTCATTTCTATTTACTTTTCCTAGAAATGAACCATTCCACAGTACATTACAAGAGGTACAGATCACAAAGTAAAAGCAGAAAGGACAGCCAGGTACACTGTCATGAAAAGAGGCAGTAGGAAGAAATAAGATTTTCTACATTTAAACAGGCATAAAAACACAGAAGGGTAAGTTTACAGAGTATAAGTACATGTTGCAACCAAGTGCTATTTATCAAAATAAATATTTTTAAGTAACACCCATTGACCCTGCAATTCCTGTTTAGGCATCTGACAAGTATGTAAAGATGTTTATTACTGTTTGTGTACAGCAGAAAGGAAAACAGAAACAACCTAAATATTCATCAAACAGGTAAACTGTATATGACATACATAAAATACTTCATAGCTAATCATTTACTATGTGTTAGAGACCCCAGTTACTAAACAGTGTGTAAAATATTCTATTTATATGAAATGCTAATAATTTATGAGAATGAAATGTATCTGGAAGAACACATTCATCTCAACAGAATTGAATCTTTCCTTTTTTATCCTTTGCTGCGTATTTTGAATTGAACACTTCACTTGCATGTACATTGCAGCACAGTAAAAACAATTTTTGATGAGCATGTATTACTTTTAAAATCAGATAATGGTAACATTTTCCAATTTAGACAAGAAGTTGTTTCCTTCAGCACTGGTGTTATTTCAAATAAATACCACAAAACATTAAGAGAATTAATCATAATTTCACCTAATAGGCACAGATAAAGATACTTTTGTGAAAATATGAACTAAATACTGTAAAGTCACCATAATGGTCACTAATAATTCAATAACCCAAAGACTGAATGACTATATAATTGATCAAACATACTGACACTTTTGAGATTGGAAGAAGGCACTATAAAGAATCATGCTTGACACCAGTGCAAGCAGAGAGTAACTTGAGCAAATTAGGACATTAAGTCCCTACCCAAAGGTTCCTTCCTAGAATTACGAACCACAGAATAAGAATTCAAGGTTTACAAAAGCTGAGTTTAATGAAAAAATCCTTAGGGCTATGTCAAAGTGATGAACCATAAGATACTTAGGTCTCACAGCTCTTGACAGCAGCGGTTCTCAGCCAGCAATGCCAATCAATAATACCCAGCAAGCTTTTTCAAACAACATACCTGGGCCGTCCCCCAGTCTAATCTAGTAGATCAATAATGGGGTCCAAGAAGCTGTTTTTGTTGAATGAGTTCATTCTATGGGTGATTCATGCACAGCCCATAATAGTTAATTTTTTGTCACCTTGAGTGGACCACGGGTTGCACAGATAGCTGGTAAAACATTATTTCTGCATCCATCTGCTATGGTGTCTGCTTTCATATACAACAACAGTAATAGTATTAGCACACAGCAATTAATAGTAGTGTAACTCCATTCGAGTTCCTGGACCTGATTCCAATGTATGTATGTGGAGGGGGTCTTGTCACACATTACACCAAGCAATTCTAGAACAGCAGCAGGGTGTTGGAGAACTCAATTCTGATACTATCTGCCCAGAGACAACATCAGATTCTCCAGGTTAAGGAATCCATCCTACAAGACTGCCTCCAGCCCTGACTCCAAGCACCGGTTGCAAGCTTGCCCAGGCAACTACCTGTGCTTCTGACCTACTGGCTACATATTAGAGGCTCTAATCACCTCCCCCTTAGGTTCAATTAATTTGCTAGAGCAGCTCTCAGAACACTTACATTTACCAGTTTAATAAAGGATACATGTTAACAGTCAGATGAAGAGGTATATAGGGCAAGGTCCCAAATAAAGGAGCTTCTCTCCTGGGGGAGCTTGGGGCCTGGCTCGGTGGCCCAGGGAGGCGTTCTGGCTCCCCAAGCATAGAAGCTCTCTCTCTCACTGAGAAGCAGGATCCAAGAGAGCAGAGAGCAATAAGCTCTTCTCAGGGGGTTTTGTGAGGCTTCACTGCATAGTCATGACTGACTAAATTATTGGCCACTGGCTGACTCAGTCTCCAGCCCCTGCCCTTGGTTATTCCGTTTAAGACTTTGTAGTGTTTTTAGGAACTGTGGATAAAGACCAAAAATACCTAGGAAATACATATTTGGTCTTATGACTCAGATCACAGTCTGTGAGGGTGCTTCCATAAAAGACATGCGTTTCAATAGACTGAATAAGGAAGCTCACCCTTCCCAAAGCAGGAGAGCCAGAGCAAAACAAAAGGAAGAGAGGAGGGTGACTTTGCTCTCTTGCTTGAACCGGGATGTCCATATCCTACCCTGGTTCTCAGGCCTCCACACTGCGACTTACCTCTATCAGTCCTCCAGTTCTCAGTCCTTTGAAAACTTTTGGTTTAGACTGAAGCTATAACACTGGCTTCCCTGGGAGCCTCCAGCTCCAAACAGCAAACTTTGGGACTTCTCAACCTTCATCTGAACCAATCACTCTTACTAAGTCTTCCTATGTGTCTCTCTAAATTACACATATATTCAATGGTTCTGTTTCTCTGGAGGACTCTAATTCACATCCCAATTGAGAAGCACCACTCTAAGAACTGCATCTCTAACTTTAACCTGGAAATCAATTAAGATGAAATTTTTATTCAGTTAATGTGAGGTAGGGCATTGCTAACAAGCTCCCAGGTGGCACATATGTCCCTGCTCTTGGGTGGCACAGTTTGGTGTCCTTGCTACTTAGTACTCAAAGGCCATATCTTACCCATCTGCTTACTCCCCAAAGTGAACAAACATTAAAGTGGAGTAGAGTAACATTCTATTTTCAGATCAGCAGTACTTACATTAACCAAGGAGGAGGTCATACTTCTTAAGTTCAACAATTCAATTTTTAATATCTGAGTTAGAATAACTAAAACTTATTATCTAAGACAGTAAGTGCTGAAAATATGTAGACATTAGAGTAATTTAAAGGTTTTTTTAAAACTTGGGGCATAGAGAGAAAACTCTATTTGGTGACACAAAATTTCAAGTGAAAGAAATTTTCTGTCTCCAAAACAGACAATATGGGTTTTCACTCAGTCCCTAAATCATGAAACGGGAGTTTCTACCTCATGTTGGCTCACCCTCTCGCACAAATTTCACATTTTGTATCACACTAAAACTAACCGATATGCAATGTATATATTTCATAAATAGTTGATTAAGAGTCTAATAAACTTCACTATATAAATCTAAGGGGGCACTGATATTCCTGGTGGGATCCAACTGTTGCACTTCAAATTAAATTTAAGTAGGAAAAGCAAAAGAATGCTTCTTTACGAAAGAAGACTCAGGATCCCAAAGTCAACCTCAGAAAGTTCCATCCTATTTATTAATCAAACAAGCCTCAAATTTCAAATCCTTGTTGAAATCAAATTTATACAAATGTCATTGCAAAAAACAAATAGCCTGATTAAACAGATGACGTCAGGTGGAGCTGTGTTTACAGGTCTATCAATCTCAAGCCTAAGCCTTGACCTTAACAAGGACTGTCATACTTCTTTGTAGTCATGCACTAAAGCAAATTTGGATATGAGAACTAACAAAACTCCCTAATCTCTCTCCCAAGATTTATAGCCTAATCCTGAACTAGGTAAGATACTCTGCTAATTACTCTAATTATGCTCATTACATCTATTAAGAGAGCACTTAATACCATGTATTTGTAACAATCTAATTACGTTAACTGGGGAGGGAAGGGGTGTGTTCTCATTCACTTGGAGCTCCATAAGGGCAAACACACCTGTACTGATCACTACTATAGCCCCAACACCTAGCAAGGCACCAGTAATTATGGACAGGCTAGGAGGTTGAAGGAATGCATAAATGCTGTCCAGAACAGTAGATACTCAAAGAATGTTCACTGAATTAATTAGCAAAAAAGGGCTTATTTTCTCATATCTTCATAACCAGATATATAAAACTCTTATATAGCAGGAGCCCAGTTTGAAAAAGACATATGCACCCCTATGTTTATTGCAGCACTATTTACAATAGCCAAGATATGAACCTAAGTGTTCATCAGTAGATGAATGGATAAAGATGTGGTACATATACACAATGGAATATTATTCAGCCATAAGAAGAAAACAAATCCTACTATTTGCAACATGGATGGACCTAGAGGGTATTATGCCCAGTGAAATAAGCCAGGCAGAGAAAGACAAGTATCAAATGATTTCACTCATCTGTGGAGCAGAACAAAGAAAAAACTGAAGGAACAAAACAGCAGCAAACTCACAGTACCCAAGAATGGACTAACAGTTACCAAAGGGAAAGGGACTGGGAAGGATGGGTAGGAAGGGCGGGAGAAGGGGGAAAAAGGGGCATTATGATTAGCACAGATAATGTGGGGGGCAGGGGGCACGGGGAAGGCAGTATAACACAGAGAAGTAGTGATTCTATAGCATCTTACTACGCTGATGGACAGTGACTGTAATGGGGTATTTGTTGGGGACTTGATAATGGGGGAAGTCTCGTAATCCATAATGTTGCTCATGTAATTGTACATTAAGGATACAAAAATAAATAAATAAACTCTATGTAATACAAGCCCTGAAGTATATATTGCAAACTCCACCCACATTAATAAAGCTCACCTCTATGAGACACACAGGAATTTACACACCAGTGTCTCCGCTATTGTCCAAGGCAGCTGTGACTGACACTTAAACCAAATGTTCCTTTCATTCTCTTTAATCAATTTATTTTTCTCTTCTGTCCCTCTGTCCCGCTTCTGTCCCCCCAGCATATCTATTTATAATAAAAAGGGCTGAAGAGATGGCAATCTCTATTCTAGAACACTGAGTGTGTTCTCTATTTCATTAATTCATCTCAAAAAAATTAAAAGCCTCACCATTACTGGGTGTCTCCAGGGACTCCTCTGCGGGAGGGGTTCCCCGGCCTCCCTCTTCCTCAAGATTTTCACTGGGCTTTGACAGCCGTTTTCTTACAGACATCTTCTCTTCACCCACCATTGTGCTGTCTAGGAAAGAAGATACAAAACACTTTCATGAGCGAGGAAAACTCTTCCTTTCTTCCCTTCCGGGTTCTTTGGCTGGTTTAATAATTAAATTGGGATAAGATGGATTAACAGGAGAAAAACAGACTTAATTCTATACATATGGGATCCTATAATATGGAACTAAAAGAGGTAACCAAAGCAGGAAGCTTTTATACCTTTTAGACAAGGAAACAAATTTGTGAAGAAATCTCCTCAAGGACTCACTCACCTATCTTAACAAAAATAAACACTCTCTCACCCCGTCACTCTCTAACCCTTGCCCTGCTTTACTTTTCTTCAGAGAATTATTGCCCAATACACTATAGTGCTTACTGTCTATCTACCCCACAAGACTAATTCCCATGAATTAGGAAAATTTTGTCTTGTTCCCCATTTTATCCAAGTATCTAGAACCTGGAATACAGTCTGCACTTACTACACTAATCTGGTGAATGAATTAATAGTCACCAAGCATTTTCACATACATTAAAAAACAAATGCCCTTCACATAGCGATGTTCATAAAACAATCGCTAATAGGCTACTATGAAGAGTTGGAACTGATGTTCATTTTTATTTCTAACTTTACCTGTTAATATTAAAGATAACTGTTAATGAGGACATTTACTAGTTTGGGATGCAGATTTTATGTACAGACATAAAAACGATCTGTTCTAGAGCTTAAGACCACAACAAGCACCCAATTCTAAACTTAGCTAAGAGACTCCTAAAAACAGTTTGCTGACAAACGCCATGCCCTTTACACCACTGGAGAAATCTCTCAAATTTGAGAGATCATTCTCCTGAAACAACACAAATAATCAGAATAAACAGAATTGTTAATAAGTTCGCCTGTTCGCCTTAGTAGGTACTTACTAATTGCTATGCCCTCCAATAAGACCTTTGTGTACATTACCTCCTTTAATCCCAACAATAACCCTATGAGATAATCCTGTGTACATTTCAAACAGAAAAAAGTAGTGACTGCCAGCTTAACTACCAATGAAAAGAAAAGAAAGAAAACTTTAAAAGTGGTTTAATCAACATTAAACAAAAGAGAACAAGCATAGATCTTTTAGTGTAGGATCAAAGGGGTTATGTTTCTTGAGTCCTGAATACCTCACTGTAACAAAGCTGACTTTAGCTGAAGTCCGTGCTTTAATGACCATGACACACCTAAAAACGCACTGGAAAGGTATGTGACAATGATCTGAAAATTCATGTATATTAACACCTCTTTCTACAATGTGAGATAAATGTAATACAGAGGTCTACCCCACTACATTGTTTACACATACACACACGCACAAAACGTATCAAGGGAACACATAACTAACCATCTAGGAAAGTCAAACAAGTCCTCAGGTCCTGGAGGATGTGACATAAGAGCCAGACTTCAAGGAATAGGAATTCGCTAGGCATCAAAACAGGAGAAGTGGAAGAGAATATGAAAACATGGAAGAGAACACGAAAACATGAACAAGTACAGGCTATAGTAAGATTCATTATTGCCAACATTTTTATTGAGGTCTACAGTGTTCCAGGTCCTAGAACACAAAGATGACTACAACAGTCTGTGCTCTCAGGAATGAAAAATCTACTGGGCAAAAGACATTTAAAAAAAAAAAAAAGATTAGAACACCTAGTGGTATTTACATAGCAGGAACTGAGATGGACATATAAGAGTATGAAGATAATACAGGCCTGCTACCCAATACAGCTTTGCGGCAATTTGGAAATGTTTCCTGTAGAAGCTAAAATCTAGGTTAAATCTTAAAGGAAGTGAATAAAATTGCAACACAGAGTATATTAAAGGGCAGGGACAAAAGGCCAAGGATTCTTGAGGGCCGTTCTAAGGAGTTGAGAATTTAACATAAACAAGGAGCTGAGAGGTTTTTAAACAAGAGGGTAACTTAACATTTGTCTTTTAGTAAGATAACTTGGGATGTAGAGTAAATGTTAGAGAAATGAGAGATTAACAGGGAGAACAAAGAGCTCACACAAAAAATGATAAAGGCCTGAGAAGGCAGGCTCAAAGACATGTGTTTATTAAATGAACAAGTGATTTCATGAAGAAGAGATAAAGGAGACAAGATAAATTTACAAACATTAAGCCAAGGTATCTATGAGTTATCCAGGTGGCTATACCCAGAAGGCAGCTGAAAATTTAAATCCCAAGTGAGTTTACTGACTCAGATGACTAAGGCTATGAGTGTACCATTAAGCTAAGTAACTATAGAAGAGAAAGACTAAATTCAGTATGATGTGCCTGTGGGCCAGCCAAGTGATGACGACAAACAGATGAATACAAGTCTGGATTGAAGACAGTGGTCTGGGATTCATGGGTATACAGGCAGCAGCTTAAAACGAAAGCACAGGAAAGAAATCTCTGAGAGAGAGAGACCATAAATCAAGAAAAGAGGTTACCTAGGAAATAATAAAGCTAACATTTACCTAATACTGACTATGGCTCATTTAATCCTCACAGCTACCTATGTGGTAGATACTATTATCCCATTTTACAGGTGGTTATTTTCCCAGCATTTCAGAGCAATTAAAGAACTAACAGCAAAAAAGCAAAGCCTATGAGAGATTAAGGAGAACCACAAGCAAGCAATGCTTGAAATCAAATTATAATCCAAGAGGCAATCTATGGTCAGTATCATGGAAAATTCAAGTAGCATAAAAAAAATGGATTAAAAAAAAGGGTGGAACATAGGATATTTCACAATTTGGGGGCAGTAATAGCTATGAAATATTGGATTGGGTTGCAAAACGAGTTGAGGAAGTGAAAACTGATCATAAGACTAGTCTCTCAGGAGGTCTCAGCAATAAAGTTTGAAACTGAATACAGGAAACCTCATTTAAAATGGAGTCTGAAAGCCAGAAGGGGGAGCTCTTACACCCTTACCACTCCTGGTCAACTGCAGACCCCAAGCTGAAAAGAGGGTTACCTTGCACTCCCAACAAGAAGCATACTTTACTACTCCAGCAAGAAGGAAGAATTTCTCCTACGCTCAGTCAATAAGAAAATACCACAACCCAGTCAATGAGAAACTGTCACCACCCTAAATTTTCGCTTTTCCTCCAATAGACTTTGTTCAAAGCAACCCCTCCCAACCTCCTTTTCTCTATCAAGTAACATTCCTCTTCTTTGATCTTCAGACTTGCCTATGGTTTGCCATCCTCTGCATGTCCTGAATTGCAATTTCTCTGCTAGTCCTAAATAAACCCATTTTGCTGGTAAAGTAACTGGCTATTTTCCTTTAAGTTCAACAACAGGAATCAAGGACTAATGCTTACTAAGTCAGTAACCTTTACAGTGATGGGGCCAGGCAACTGCAAGAGATATCTCATTTAAAATTTCCATTTTAAAAGATACAAGATTTGTAAATGCTACAAAACTTGTTCAAAGTTACACAACGAGTGTCTGTGTAAACATTTACAAACAAGGTGACTAAGTTGACTAGACAGCTACTTTTAAACGCCACACACTGATTAAACATTTAAGAATCCAAACTCTGCACTGGTTTTGCAATATTCATGGTGATAATATCTAACTTGCCTTAAGAAATCCAAAATAAAAAGAACTGGTTTAAGTAACAATGAACAATGTGGGAAAGAAGTGTCAAATTTGGCCTGCCTGCAGTGCTCCCATCAATAAAACTCCCAAAATATATATATATATAAATCTATAAAACAAATGAGTGTTAATGCCTACTCTCTGTGAAGAACTTTGCTACAACACTCCCAGGTTCAGTGGGGGAAAAGAGAAACAAATGTACATTAATTTACAATCTAAAAATCCAAAGCATAAAAGGTTTCCTCCTTCCAAACAAACGTTTGCTCCAGTATAACCCGACTTATCTACAAATCAAAGAACCCGGTTATTAAGTCAATTAGCCAAACCAAAGAGACAAATTTCATTTACATCTGCATGGTCAGTATAATCCTGTGATAAAACTCCAAAAACAAATTTTAACTGGCCTTTGTTAAAAACTTTTTCCATTTCTTCCCCACGGAAACAGGCACTCTTCCCTAGTTATAACTTCCTTCCCATTCCTAAATTCCTTCTTCTGCGTCCCATTCATTCATTCTTTCACATGATAGGTGCTGAGCTAGACTTGAGAATTAAGGCATAAATAAGATGGACAGCCCAGCCTTCATGAAATTTACATGCTAGTAAACAAAGCACCTAAGTAATAAGCAACTCATTACCATTGATGATTCACTGCAGCTAAGGTAAACAGTGCTAGGGGCGCTTCACCCAGATAGGATGAGTTTCCTGAAGAAGTGGTATTTGGGCTAATATTGCAGGAAGGTATACGATTTGGAGGAAGGGAGCGAAACGCCATCAGAAGCGGAGGAAACCCCTCAAGACTAGGAGTCAGTAATGACAAAGCGACTTTCTTAGGACAAAAATAAAACCAGTGTGCCTTGAGCCCAGACAGCCAGGGCAAAAGTGGCCCCAAATGAACTGGAGACAGGAAAAGTGGCCACAGCATTTTGATCTTTATCTTACAGAATGTGAATCTTTTGCGAGTTCTAAGGACGTGATGCTTTGACACACGTCATTTTTAAATGATTATCACTTTGATTGCATCAGAACTCCTTCCAAAATCCACTCTCATTCCTAAACAATACAAACTTCCCTACCACGTCATTCGTGGATATCGTCCAACTTCGAGCAAGCAAAAAGAATGCTTCAAGTTGATTTCTATGTCAAAGGAAAGGCAAATACTCTGGGAAAAAAGTTTAAACAGATGGCAACCACTTAAATATTAAGAAGTGAACAATGAACTTTAAACACGGAGACTAGAGTTTATAGTTACTGCTTGCTTACAAATAACTTCTAAATACACATCATTTAAACTGTATGGCTTATTAATATTTAAGAATGGCAAAAACTGAATTGTATCCTAATGTTTACAAATAAATCATGAGCTTGATTACAGGCTTTGGTGCCTAGATTTCGATGTCTTAAAGTACCATCTATCCCTTAACATACTTTTTACCTTAAATCAATATAGAGGCTGATTTCCTGAGTGCATGTTGGTTTTCGCTTTTTAGGAATAAGTAAAAGGAATAAAACGTCTCGTAATTTATAACTTTCTTTACTCTCGGCTAGAGATGCCACAGGATTTGGGGCGGGGGAGTGATTGGGCATCTAAGCAACCTCCAAGGTTTAAAAACTTGCTAAGTATCCAGGCGCCCGAAGGTAACTTTCCCGCCCTCCCCAGGACTCGCCGAGCCTCCCCTTCTCCCGGTTCCCGCCGCCTTCTCCGCTCAGAACGAAGGCAGGCCCGCCGGGCCGGAGTCGCAGCCGCCACCTCTTCCCCTACGTCTCCGGCGGAGGCGGGTAGACCTAGGAGGGAATCGAGGAAGGAATGGGGAGCACGGGCGTTACCTGGGGCCGAACGGAGACGTGGGAAAGAAGGGCGAAGCTGGGAAGCTGTCACAGGGCGGAGGGCGAAAAGGCCAGTTCGAGACAGGGACACGGACGGCTCTCCAGGTGCCCAAGGCCGGGTACGCAGCCAGCCCCGCGCGAACGAACATAAAGCTCCGGGCTCCCACCCCTCCGCCCCTCCGCCCCTCCGCCCCCAGCCTCGCCGCCCGCTACGTCGCGTCACGCGCACGGCCCACGCCGGCTCGGGATATCATTGGTGCCGGACAGCCCCATGCCCCGCCCCAGACCCAGGACGCCCCGCCCCTTTCCGGGCTGCTGAGCACTCTGCAGGGGAGCCCCCGGCGGCCTTGGCGCTCCGCCCGGGGGCTTACGTCGGCGGGTCGTGACACTGGCGCCAGCACTGCCCCCGGGATCCGCTGTGCGGCGGGGATGAGACCAAGGCAACTTCCTACAAGTTCCAAACGGCACCCTACGTGGTAGTACGGGACTGGCGAGTCTCGTGACTCAGAGAGTTCCGGAAGCCTCCCCTAGAACGGAGGATTACTGCGATGTGAGCTGAAGGAAATAGCGGCACTAGCTCCAAGAGTTTGCCGCGGGATGTTAATGCTTTGTGAACTGCCCTTAACTGTGTCCCTTCGGCACAGGCGAACTAGATAGGGAGACAGTACGATATGTGAAATAATGAGTCAATTAGGTAATTAAAAAGGGGACTTCATAAAAATAATAATGGTAATGGTGCGAAGACGTTGAAGACAGATGAGATCCAACAGTTAATCACGTAGACTTTACAAAGGCAAAGCTGTAGGTGGATTTAGAGTAAAGGTGGGTGAAAGGGGAATGATGAAAGCAGCAGAGATTGAACCTTCTTCAGACAGGCTGAGACAGTTACCCTTGACCCGGTCAGGCTTGCTGAAACCAATGAACCAGGGTTACTTGATCTGACTACTACTCTCTGTGGACCTTTTCACGCGGAGGATTTGTACAAGTTCCCCTAGCCATCCAGAGCAGGCAACGCTGTTCACCCGCAAGCAGAACCACCCTCAGCATCCATTCATATTTGGTACTGGCGGTCATTGGCAGACCTACCCAGTTTGCCTTTTCTACAGCTCTTCACTGCTGCTTCTGCCAACTGGATGATAGTGGGGCCTGGTAGATCCCAATGACGTTTGCGCTTTACACCAGGTAAAGAGCAATAGGAACACAGGCTTAGTTATGTTGAGATTCTGCTTGCCACCTTATACATATGCCGAGAAGACTCTTGACTTTTCCTTTGTTTCATTTATTCATTAAAAAAATATCGTGTTTTGTTCTTGGAGCTAGTGATACAACAGTGAATAAAACAAAAGAAGCCCCTGTACTTGGAAACTTATATTTCCAATAGAGAAGACAAATAATAAAATAAGATAATTGCAGGTAGTGGTAAGTGTTGAGAAGAGAACAAAACAGGACAGTCAGGAAAAGACTTGAAGGGGGTAATCTGAGCTAAGACTTAAATGAGGAAAAGAAGCTAGCCACAGGGAAGAAGAGCATTGGGCAATGGGCATGAAGGTGCTGATGCTTAATCAAGTTGGCATGTCTGAGGAGCAGAAGGCCAAGAGGTTTCAAGCATCTTGTGTGGAGGAGATGAGATATAGAGAGAAGAGGAGAATGAAGCAGGAGCCAAATCATATTGTTTGGACCTTTTTGTTAGGTCCAAAAAAAATAAAAAACTTTTGTGACTTCCTGTGTTTTAAATCAACCTATTTTACAGAGAATGACTTGAAAGGGAGGAAAATGGGACAAGGATAAGCCAGAGAGCAATAGGAAGCTCTTGGATAAATCCATGGGATGGATGGTGGTCACCTGGATTACGATGGATATGATGGAAGTAGAAGTTGAAGGATTTCAGGATATTTTTCTGAGGTTCAGGGTGAAGAAAAAATAAGGTGATTCTCAGTTTGCTTTCTTAAGCAAGTGGGAGGATGGCAATGCCATTTAGTTCAGGGAGGCAGGTTATTGAATATGATTGGAGGGGCGCTGAAAGCCTCTGCCCAAACTCCAAGCCTCTCCCAGCACTGGCCTGGAAGCCTCACATCACTCAATCCTTGGGATCAAGCTTCTTAAATGCAAAAAAACACACGGACAGAATTTGTACTAGTTGATACGGATATAAAGATGAATAAGAACAACTGTTGTAGAGATAGATAATAACTAAGCCATTTCAAGACAATGGGACAAGTGTTATAATAAAAAGAGGTAATAAAACCTCTTTCTGAACAGAGTCATTATAAGGATTAAATAAGTTAATGCCTACAAAACTCCAAGAACAGACACTGGCATATAGAAGTGCTCAATTAATACTAACAGGTTTTTCTTTACTCTTTTCTACATTGAGGTTTATCCTTATTGTTGATGTTACTATCTTCTGGATATGGCGGGAGCAGACAGAATGATTATCACAGCCTGCTACTCTAGGAGAGGGGAGGTTGAATGGAGGAAAGTTAGCTGGACTCCAGTTTTCTGAGGCAGTAGGAAGAGTTTAGTTGGCAGCAGGAGAAAAGGAACATTCCAAGCAAAGGAAAAACAGGATCAAAGGCCAACATGACAAGAGGGAGCCAGAATCATCTAGGACACAGGAAGTTGGTGAGTATTTTTGAAGCATAGGGTACGTACTGAGAAGTGGCAAGAGATGAAGTTGGTGTCAGAGTTTAAGAAGTTTGTAGACTATGTTGAGACATTCTGACTTAAGCTGCTATAGAGTGGGGAGCCAGTGAAGGATATTAAGTAGGGAAGAGTCATGATATAGGAGATTGTACTGCAACTGAAGGTGGAGAGATCAAGTAGAAGGGCATTACAGAAATATAGGTGAGAGATTATAAATAACGTAGAGCAGTAGCAAGTGGGATGAATAAAGAAGGCAGTATATTTGAGAGAGATTTAAAGAGACAACAGACCAAACTCGAGAGTGTTTGGGTATGGGGGTTAAGGATGTATCCAGGATTTCTGGCTTAGCGGGCTGGATGGATGGAATTAATGCTCACCAGGGTAAGAAAATGCATCCTGGAAGAGCAAGAATAAACTTTATCTGGGTGAATATTTAAGCTAGTCCACCTCCTACTGAGCCCTGAAAGGAGCTAAACAAGAAGCAATCGAGTTATTTTGGTTGCACAATAAAATAACTTAAACATTCTTTTCTGGCTATGTCAATAATGCATACTTATTGCAAAAAATAAAATCAAATGCAGAAAAGCACAAAGGTAAAAGCCACCTAATGTCTCACCACCCAGAGATGCAGCTAAATTTTGATGTGGGGCAGGAAGAGAACAATGGCCTGAGGCTGGGGCCTGAGCCCTATGAAAGAAGGCACTGGGTTGTACAGAGAACCAGAAAGGGAAACCGAACAGGAACCAAACCAGGTTTTAAAACACAAACATCTCTTGAAAGGCTCACATTTCTCTTAATCTTACCAAACAAGCAATAACTCTATATTCCATTCCAAATATTTGCAATTTCTCCATTGGTACTCAGACATAGCAAAAACATAGATTAACCTGAAATTAAGATTTTATGACTAAGATAAGGACGAGGCAAGAGTTTAAGTCAGATGTCCTTGCTTGGTATGTCCCTGAAAACTGGGAGAGCTGGAGTCCTGCTTCATGTATTCCAGAAGCACTCAGCACAATACGTAAGAGTCAACTGATAAATGTATCAAATGAATTAATGAAGCTAACTGAAGGCCTAAATTCCTAGATTATGGGCAGACCCCAAACAAAATAGAAGTCAGACACAATTTTATTCCTTCCCCTGTGATTCAATCATCTTGCATGCAACCTATCCCAGCTAAGTGGACTGCCAGCTTGATTCCATAGATTCTGTCTAGTTCTAGGGAGCAAAGTACAGTGAGGCACCGCCATAGATATAGTTCAAGGGATATACACACATGAAGAAACACCCTCAAGAGCTCATGTATCACCACATATCATTTTTTTATCTCACTGAAATTTAGTGTAAACCCAAAAAAGAATCTGATCAGTTAAAATATGGTAAACCTAGAGAAAACACTAAGAAAATAACTCCTGAAAATATACAGTGATATCAACAATACTTCAATAAAATAAATATTTAAAATATATATATAGTGGGAGTTGGAGGATATTACGCTCAGTGAAGTCAGACAGAGAAAGACAAATACCAAATTATTTCTCTCATTTGTGGAATATAACAATGAAGCAAAACTGAAGGAACAAAACAGCAGCAGACTCACAGACTCCAAGAAGGGACTAGCAGTTACCAAAGGGGAGGGATGTGGGAGGGCGGGTGGGGAGGGAGGCGGAAAGAGATTGAGGAGTATTATGATTGGCACTCATGGTGTGGTGGGGGTCATGGGGAAGACAGTGTATCACAGAGTAAACAAGTAGTGACTCTGTGGCACCTTACTACACTGATGGACAGCGACTGCAATAGGATATGGTGGGGGACATGATAATGTGGATGAATGTAGTAACCACATTGTTTTTCTTGTGAAACATTCATAAGAGTGTATATCAATGATACCTTAATAAAAACAAAATAAAACTAACATAAAAAATTAAACAAAAAAACAAAACAAAGCAAATATATATATATATATAGTGAAAAAAATATTCAAGGAATTTAAATGTTACACTAGAAAATACTCAGTGGAAAACAGTAAACAAGGAAGAGAAGAACAAAAAAGACATGAGACAGAAAACAAAAATTTAAATGACAGACATAAATCCAAGTATTATCAATAATAATAACACTAAGTGTGAATGAACTGACTAATCCAATCAAAAGGTAGTGGTTGTCAGGTTATATTAATAAACAAGATCCAGCTATATGCTGTCTACTGGAGACAAAGTTTAGATTCAAAGATACACATGGGTTGAAATTTAAATATTGGAAAAAGATATGCAAAAAGCAACCATAAAAAAGCCAGATGGCTGTATTAATATCAGACAAAAGAGACTTTAAGGCAAAAGTGTTTACATGCTACAACCACTTGGCAAAACAGTCTGGCAGTTAAACAAACATAGAGTTGCCATATGACCCATCAATTCCACTCCTATGTATATACCTAAGAGAAATGAAAATAAATGTCTGCACAAAAACTTGTACAAGAATGTCCATAGCAGCATTATTCATAATAGCAAAAGTGGAACCAACCTAAAAGATCGTCA